TTCAGAGCCTGCCGAGGAGAAACGAGGGCTATTTTCTTATATAGATGTCATGAAATCTATCCTCTCAGAATTTCTGGAGTCAAAGGCTAAGCAGGTTTGCCCGGATACCTTCTGCTACTTGATCTACAAATAAATCTAGCCGGGAGACCTAAAGCGGGTGTCACTTTTCAGACGGAGCTGATCCCAAAAAATCACTCTTTGGCCTCATTTGGAGTTGTTTACGTGTGCGGGGGCACAACGGTGTGTTAAATAAAACGGGGCCATTATCTGCGCACCAACGGAGGCTTCAGAAGTGAAGGGAAAAAGAAGAAGCCTCAGAATCGCAAAGCCCAGCGACTTCGGAGAAACTTTTCCCTCATTCTCTCCAATGGCTAAAAGAAAACCTGATGTTCTTCTTTTAAAATGTGCCTGCCTCTAGGTCTTTGGCACAGGTTTGCCGATGGGAGGGCCGGCAATCTATTTAATGACTGCATTGACGTCAATAGCATAACTGAAATACTTACTAAGATGCATGAGTCCAACTTTCAGGGGGTGTGTGTTCGCAGGCAGGAGCAACACACGAAACGGACTGCGTGGGAACGAACTGCCCGGGAAGAGCAGGAGCGGTGCTGGGTGTCCCAATGCACTCTGAGGGCACTCACCGCTCCTCTGCTGCAGGGAACCTTCCCGGGTCACTCTGAAACACCTCTGCTTTCTCCAAGCAGCAGGAATCGCTTCACGTTCGACAGCCCTCAGCACCGCTCGGTCACGTCACGAGCTGCCATCCATCTGATTTATTCTACAGTTGCTAAGCTAGCATCATCATGGCAGTGCATTCAGAATAGTGCGCAGGGAGTCCAGTTTAGGGACAAGCTTCCAGCACCATGCTGCTATGCACATGCAGCTCTCACGGTGCTGCGTGGCTCCCTGTCAGAATCACAGCACCAACTCATCCCAGCCACCCGAAAACCACGGGATGCTGCAGTCCTCACTGCTGGCAGCCCAAGGCACGCCAACAGGACCTCAGCATGAATCATCTCTCTTGTACCTGCACGGCGCCAGCTCCTCGCGAGAGCAAAGCCCCATCTGACTGTGTGGAGCTGATGGGTGGCTGCAGAGCGGGACCTGGTACACCTGGTACCTCCTGCAGGAGCCGGGACTCTCAGTCGCACAGGCACTGGTGTTATCCAGTCCTTTGTTTATGCTTTATACAAACCTTCGCGCACGAGTCTGTGTACATCTTACACCCACATGAAAAATGAGCGAGAACGAGCTTTGGGTTCGTGTAAAGGCATGCGAGCAGTGCAGACAAACGTGCGGATGGGCAGGAAAGCAGAGGCTAAGGCACAAGCAAAAAGAATACCGAGCTCTCCCTCCCACCCCCAGAGAGGAACTGTAACAGAGCTTTAATCCCACGAGCCCTGAGAAGCCTCTGTGTGTGACACAGCCCAAAGTGCCACCCCCCCAAAGCCTCGGGTTGCAAAGCTGATCAGTGATATACCTAATGATGTATTGCATTGCTAGGTAATTAATGGTGAGCTCGTGCTGTAATTATGCAGTGCTGAAGGCACCCGAGGGGCAGCAGCAGGAGCTCTGCAGTGCTGCCGTTGGGGAACCAGTGTGCAGAGATGCCTGGTGCTCACGGGTCGGGTCCCATTGGCCAGCTGCACTCCTGGAGGCTGAATGAGGCATGGATGGCTTAGCTGGGAGGGAATAAGGCTCAGTAAGAAAAATAAGCTCAGAGGAAGGAACAGAACCAAGCAGGGGCTGCCAGACCTGTTGCTGGGCATGGGTTTTATCGGCCGAATGGATGGAGCTGAAGACCCCTCATGAGTGCCCAGGGTGGCGAACTGAAAAGAGCAGCGCCGAGGGTTGGAGCTGAGATCTGAGGAGCACTGAGATCAAACAAAATGACTGCAGCAGAGGTCACGTTAAAAGAGAAAAGAGAAGCACATGGGAAGGGAACGTTTCAGAGATGAGGACGGCACTGCTTTTCTATTGCTAATTTCTGTGACAGTGGAAAAGGAGGTGGGGCAGCACCTGTTCCAAACACAAACCTTCATAACCGTGCTCTGCAGCACTTTGCACAGCCACGAACCTCACGATCCCAACCAGTCCCATCATCCTGCCCAGCTGCCAAGCACAGGAGCTAATTAAGGATTGATGCACTTTTTGCTGCCGCTTCATATTTCCTTGCAAAGGTTCCTTAGGTAACTCACACAAGCACTTTTGTTTGTTCCTGTGATCTGCAGTTATAACAAAATAACAGGAAAAATCTGCCAGGTTTACTTAAGCTGATACCAAGGACAAAACACAGGATGTCCAATGCATATCCCTCTTCCTTTTATGGCTTGGTTATAAGGTTAAGAAAGCTCTGAAACCTGCAGTGACATCAGTGTGGGCTTGGGAACCGCTCTGCCCCACCAAAAGCCTGACCAGAATTGTTCACGATTTCAAGAAAATGAAAGCAAGAAGAAGAATTTCATCACCCAGCACAGACCATCCGTTTCGCCATGGGCCTGGGTCCCGTGTGATGCAACTCCTCAGCAGCACACGGACACCAGATTTGGCTCCTCTGTGTTGCAAACGACTGACAAACCCCTAAGGCTCTGCTGGACCAACCAGCTGGCGTGCATTACTTGCAGTACGAAGCTGAGCACAGTTTGTGTCCCCCCAGGGTAATTCTATGAATGTACGCTGGTTTGCTTTAAACCCTGAGTCCTGCACTTCTTGTAACAGGATATAAATCACTCTGCTAACGACAGACAAGAGGAGGCACACGCAGGGTGCACACAGAGATGCCAATCGCTTGTGGTGGTGCATCTATGAATCAACGTGTGACATGAGAGAGCTAAAATCAAACGCTGAGCTTTGCTGGTGAACCCATCTAGAGAATGTAACACATTTAAGACATGTCCTTCTATCTAGAAGGGAGCAATATGGTGTGGCCCCAATCTAAACCTCACCACTTCCTCCTCCAAAACTTGCAGGGAAGGCACAGCATCCCTTCAGGCACAGCGAGACGGGCTGCTGGGAACATCCCTCCTTCCACTCATAAATCCTGGATCAACACACTGAAAGAAACACCCTGAACCCCTTTGCTCTTTCTGCACTGAAACGGCATCTTCCTTAGGAAGCATCCTTGTTCTCTGAACAAGGCGAAACGCACGGCAGTGGCTGTAAGGGATGAAGGCAGGCAGTCTCCAGAAGAAAACCAGTAGTGGGAGGAGAGAGCAGCCCCACAACCCCCAGCACGCGGCCGTGCTTCCTTGTGCAGGAAATAACACCATTTCCTATCAACCTCAAGCATGTTTCTTATCACTGCTGCCTGCAAACTGTCGCAATGTACTTCAGTTACTCACCTATCCGCACAGCACAGAAACACTAAAACTGTGAGTCAGGAGCACAAGGGCTCAGCTCATGACGTTGAGAGTGGGCTTCCCATCAGTTGCTGTCTCCTTCTGGGTCCTCCAGAGCAACACAAGCCTGCTGTGCAGCTGCAAGCACCAGCCCCTCAGTCAGAAAGGGAACTGGAGTGGCTGCGGGCTCCAGGCATCAGGAGCTGGGGTTACCTGTGGGGTTACCTGTGGGGATACCTGTGGGGTTACCTGTGGGGTTACCTGTGGGATTACCTATGGGG